CAGACATTTGGGTGGATGAACCCACTCTCCATTTTGGCCACAGCCCCCACTACTCCTTATTCTTCATCCCTTAGCAACTTTCTGCATGAGGGGATGAAGATTCAGGGAGGAATAACAGAGAAGTGTATAGAAAGAACTGAAGCAAAGGATCATAAGAACAATTGCTGAAATAATGAGAGCTACCATGTATTAAATTCTTTTGGCAGGTACAATTCTCAGTGCCATCTTTAGTTGTCTCAAAAATCTCATCTTATTGTTAGAATGGTATTTAAGTTCTTTGTATACCCTGGATATTGGTGCTCTATCTCATGTGTGAGCGGTAAATATTTGCTCCCAAGATATAGGTTCTCTGTTCACCTCAGAGATTGTTTCTTTTGCTGAGAAGAAATGTTTACCCCTCATGCATCAGATAGAGCAATGATATCTAGGATATATAAAGAACTCAAATGCAAATCAAAACCACTCTAAGATTTCATCTCACTACAGTCAGAATGGCAGCTATTTTGAAGAAAAACAAAAATAAGTGTTGGCGAAGATGTGTGAAAAAAGGTACACTCATACACTGCTGGTGGGACTACAAATTGGTGCAGCCAATATGGAAAGCAGTATGGCGATTTCTTAGAAATCTTTTAACCAAGCTATCCCTTTCCTTGGTATATACCCAAAGGACTTAAAAACAGCATACTACAGGGACACAGCCACATCAATGTTTATAGCAGCACGATTCACAATAGCTAACAGTGGAACCAACCTAGATGCCCTTCAATACATGAATGGATAAAAAAATGTGGCATATATACATAATGGAATATTACTCAGCAATAAAAGAGAGTAAAATCATGGCATTTGCAGGAAAATGGATGGAATTAGAGAAGATAATGCTAAGTGAAATTAGCTAATCCCAAAAAACCAACTGTCAAATGTTTTCTCTGATATAAAGAGGCTGATTCATAGTGGGGTAGGAAGAGGGAGCATGGGATGAATAGACAAACTCTAGATAGGGAAGAGGGGTTGGAATGGAAGGGCGGTGGCATGGGATTAGAAATGATGGTGGAATGTGATGGACATTATTATCCAAAGTACAAGTATGAAGACATGAATTGGTGTGAGTATACTTTGTATACAACCAGAGATATGAAAAATTGTGCTCTATATGTGTAATAAGAATTGTAATGCATTCCACTGTCATATATAAATAAAAGAATTTAATTATAAAAAGAGAATGCTATTTAAGATTATAAGCCCCATTTAATATCAGACAACCAGAGAAACTGACTTTCAAGCTCAAGTCTTTACCCTTATAATGGCTCTCTACTTTTGATGTCCTTCTTCTTATGTATATATAGTCATTTCCTTCTAAGGATGCTAGGGAACGGCAGTATTGGACTCTTACTAGTGCATAGTGAAGGGAGATGTCAAAGGGAGCATGGAGACATGGAATTGAAAGCTATTAACTGAGTTAAATATATGTTTCAAGTTCTGCCCATTTTAAATGGGCAGAAAGATACAGTATATATATGTAATAAAATATTTGTATGCTTTGAATGGGGAAAGAGGTTTCAGAAGAGATGCAAAGGGAAAAGCCCAAAAAGTTTCTGGAAAAATTTTCTTCTCCCCCATACTACTCCCTTGGAGAAAACAACTGTGTCTTAGAGCAAGAGTAAATGTCATTCTGGATCCACTATTTTCACACAGGTGAATTAGAAAAGAATGACACCAAAGACTTAAAGTAGAAGAGAAGTAATACATAATTGGTAGTGTGATAAAATGAGAGAGAAGTGAAAGAAGAGACAGTTCCTTCCTCTTTTTATTTTGAGGTCAGGGTAAAATTTACTTTGATAGCCTCAGTATGTGTCATAAACGATGCCTTTAAGTTGATTGTAGAAGTGGGGTCAAGCCTTTGGGAAATAATGGGTCATTCATTTTTGAAATTGCTCTGGGAAAAAAAGCACTTAGATGCCAGGGACTAATTAAGACTGTTTAGAGTCCAGCACAGAGTTGGCATTTATCTTAAATAACACATTTATTTAATTTGAATGACCCATTTGAACAGGGAAATGCCCAGGTACTGAATTGTGTACTTTGTATTCTTTCAGGATGTTCAACATGGCGATATTGATTATATGGATGAGAGGAGGGACTTCACGTATGACCCAGTGGATTTTAACGGCTTCCCTGAGTTTGTTAAGGAGTTACACAATAACGGACAGAAATTTGTTATCATTGTGGTATATACAGCCTTTTTTTCCCCTCTGAAATCAGGGATTTACTCATTCTGATCATTACAACTCACTCTCCTCTTGGTCCCCAACTCCAAGTCTCCTTTCAGTGCCTTCAGTTTAAAGTTAGTTTCTCCACTGTGTTTTTCCCTTTAGGATCCAGCCATCTCCAACAACTCTTCCCAGAGCCATCCCTATGGCCCATATGACAGGGGCTCTGCTATGAAGATATGGGTGAATAGTTCAGATGGAGTGAATCCACTCATTGGGGAGGTAACTTAATGGGGAAGCTGGGGCTGGAAGAGGGCTATGGCAGTGTGTGTGTGTTGGGGCGGGGGTTGTTTTGTATATTTGAAGATAACTTGTAGATTCTGAGGAAAAACTTTCCTTTGCCCTTTCATTCCCCAATATCTCCCAGCCAACCTAGTTCTTACATGCCTTCCCTAGCTTGGCCCCACTAAACAGTAGCTCACGCACTGAGTGTCCACTTCCACACCTCAGCTCTTCTCAATGCTGACCACAGTCTCCTTCTTCCTCTATCATGTCATTGACACTGCTCTGGAAAATGGCACTAGTTACCTTCTGTGTGGTAAATCCAATGGAAATGTTTCATGCTTTCTTACTCAATTTCTTTGTAGTATTTGATAAGTTTGACTGCTTTTTTCTCGAAATTTTATTTGCACTTGTTTCCCACAAAGGCATGATTTACCAGTTCACTTCTAATACCTCTGAGGACCCTTTCAGAGTATAGTGTCTGAGAAAAACAGGACAGGGAAGGACGAGAGAAAAGTAAATGATATTAGAGTACATAAACTGTCAGTTGAAATTTATAGTGAACACTTCCCAATTTACTCTTCTTAGAATTGAGAGCAGAGAAAGTTATAGGGAAGGCTGAACCATAGTTGAAGATCAGCAAGTTAAACAATACCCTTTTCCAATGGATTCACTCATTACGGACTTAACCATTTTTAAAAAACAAAATTTTCCTCAAGTGGCAATTCAATGGGGCCCTGGCATTTATTCTCAATATTCTGAGTTGTTCATCTTCCTAACTGAACTAGCCTGTGTCTGGGCACCTCCATCTCAATGATCATATTAGGAATTTCTATGTAAAGCTCTTTATTTTATTCTATACTCATTTACTTGTTGTTATCAGTATTTCCCTTTTTTCTCTTGCAGGTATGGCCTGGTAAAACTGTGTTTCCTGATTACACCAATCCCAACTGTGCTGTTTGGTGGGCAAAGGAATTTGAGCTTTTCCACAGTGAAGTGGAGTTTGATGGAATCTGGATTGTGAGTTTTTAACACTTTAATTCTTAGGTGATGAATATTCAGGTAGTTGAATCTATGTCTACATCTTTTAGTCATGGGGCATAGGGAAAAGAGGAGTAATAGAAAACAAGTATGACAATAATTCCTAGTATCCCTTATTTTATGGTTAAAATAATCTTACCAAAACATGTTGCTTAGAATCAAAATTCTAAGCAGGAATTGTTTTGAATCTAGCTCTCCTTTTACAAACAAATAGGCTGATATTAAAATCAGCCTATTGGTCACATACCACTAAAATTATCATAAAATTCATGAATTTGTTCAATTGCCTGCTTTAGGCTCTTGCATTTGGACATGTTGGGCAAAGCGATCATAGCCAAAGTGTCTTGAGGCCTTGGTAAGGAGAAATATGTAGTATAATGTCAAATGACAACAATACAACCCAACCAATGTTCAGCAAAATTTGAAGAGTTCTTCCTAGAGCAACTTAGCAAGACCATGTCTCTAAATAAAATATTTTAAAAAGGGCTGGGAATATGGCTCAGTGGTTAAGCACCCCTGGGTTCAATCCCTGGTTATTGCTCCCCCCGCTCCAAAAAAAAAAAAAAAAAATTAAAGAGCTCTAAAGTTGAAAATTTTTGTATTTATTAAAGAACTGTAGGAAATTCAAATAGTAAAGGCAACTAAAAAGATGAAAGCAAAAAACCTATACAGTGATAGCCACCAAAGACAACTACCATAAAAAAAATTAGTATAATCTTTCCAGATCTTTAATTTTTACAGCTTTGGCACATGCACATAATGTCCCTCTCTCTATATATGTATCTGTTATATATGTGTATGTATTTATATTTTTGTTTATTCATAGTTATATTGGGAGGGACCTCAGGAATTTTTTTGAATCTAGCTTTCCTTAATAAGGAAACAAATTAGCTGATGTTAAAATAGGTCATATACCCCTAACATTGTCATAAAGTACATGGTTATATTTGGATATATAGAGGGTGTAAGTTGATATACATATGACATAATGTAAATTAAAAATTTTTACCTAGTATATTTGAGAATTGTTCACTTTGAGTAAATATAACATATATCATTTAAAAGGGATACTAAGAAACTTCTCTATGAAGTCTGTAGTGGCTAGAGAATATAGAAACAGCTATTTAATTCCATGTACATAAATACCCCCTTTAAAAGGGAAATATCTGGAATAAGTTCTTTGATTCTTTAAAAAAGTCACCATCAATATACTGTTATGGAAAATATTGCTTCTCTTAATAGTTTTTGTTCTTTGTCTTGAAGGATATGAATGAAGTCTCCAACTTTGTTGATGGTTCAGTTTCAGGATGTTCCACAAACAACCTCAATTATCCCCCCTTCACTCCAAGTGAGTCTTTGTGGTCAGCCTGATTAAAATGGAAATGCTTATTTAATAATTTAAATTCATAAGGAAGGGTCCGAACAACCTGGCAAGGGAGTTTGTACACAGGGAAAGAAAATGTGGGATAAGATATTAAGTTCAAGAAGACTGGGGAAGCAAATGAAAACACTCTATGCTTTCCTAAAGAGGAATGAATTAAAAAAGGGCAACTAATCTGTCTAGCTATAGTCCAAACCATTTCTAGGGGAAGGGCCAGACAGAATATGGCATAGAAGCCAGAGATCGGTGGTTAGCATATGTCAATCTCAAGTTGTGCACCCCACAATCTAGGGCTTACCAGAGAGAGACAAGTAGACTTGGTCCAAGGGAGGTTTTATCAGTGAATGTGTTGCTCCTGAGCTTAATTGAGCTTTGAGCAGCACTATCTCTCAGGGTGTAGCATTGGCATCACTGCATTGGTTATGGTTTGAAGAAAGCATAGACTCAAGAATACATTGAATCTTTATTGAGAAAGGAATGACATTACCCGTATTGTACCACCTTTTGATGATTTCAATGAGGTGCAAAATTAGGAAGTTAGGGTGAGTAGATCAGAATCAAATGTCTAGGGGTTTGGATGGGAAGCCAGAGTTTATACTTCATTCTTTTGGTGATAGAAGCTATTTATCTTTTAGTTAGAGGAAAGTATGATAGTCAAATGGTTTTAGAAGTATTAATCTGGTACTAATATGCAGTATAAATTAGATGGTAGATAGACCAAAAGCACATAAATCATTAGGAAAATATTGCAATAGTCAAGATGCAAAGGTAACTGGATCTGAACTAAAATGATGCAGTGAGAGTAGAGAATAGATACATGTATATGCATACAACCTAGAGGGACATGTCCAACTAAGCTTCTTGTGACTGGATGACTTTGTTCTTTGCTTGTGTTTTTATTTTTCCTGTAATGTACAATTTACTTATAAAAATAAAAATTATTTTAAAAAAGAGAATAGATACTGAAAGCAAGATTGGAAATAATTTTTATAATATATGGTCAAGGTAAAGAAGAGTCAGAAACTAATCAGAAATTAATTGATTAGTTTGATCCATTAATTCTATTTTTGTACCATTTAACTTGGTTTAAAAATTTCCAATTAAACCTCCAGTCTGACAGATTTCTAGTTTCTTGTGCCTGCCTCTGATCATTTGAGAGCCTAGGTGAGTGGACGTATACGGATGGGTCTGCAGAATTTATTTATATATCAAAATAACTACCTCAGTGGGATAGCTTTCTGATAGTGAGAAAGCAGTATCATTGTTTAAAGGGTGAGCACAATAAAATCCTGCCCTGGGGAGTTGCCTTTACAGGTTGTATGACAGTCAAGGAGTAGGAATGTGCATCTGTGGTTCTCACTGACTGATCACACTTTTGATTCAGGAGTCCTGGATGGGTATCTCTTCTCCAAAAGTCTCTGCATGGATGCAGTACAGCACTGGGGCAAGCAGTACGATGTCCACAACCTGTATGGCTACTCCATGGCGATCGCCACAGCAGAGTGAGACCATTATTGTGATGAAGTCACACATGATCAGATTATGAGTCTTCTACATGCTGGGTGACTCATGTGTAGTATTTGTTAAAAGGCCACATGATAAATAAATAAATATCATTATTGAATGAATGAAGAAACTGCCTAACACATGGGGAAGAAAGAATCAGACAAATAATTGTGGAATATATAAAATGAAAGAACAGTTGAGTGAATGGAATATTAGAAGAAAAGAAAGCAAGAACTCAAGATCAAACAGCTGATACATTGCAAAAGCAAAACTTAGGCTCTTTTTTTTCTACAATTCCAAAGCCCTAGCTAACTTGTATATCAATGTGCTTTGGGATTTTAGATTTGGTTCAGCATCCTTCTGTGTTCTGTTTACTTTTATGTTGTATGAAGAAAAGTATTGAAAATTTATTTGACTTGCTGTAACAGTAACAGAAGGAAAACAGACCCAAATCACATTCATTAGTCTCACAAAACTTTTAAATTACATGGACACACATAGATTTCTAATTTAAAAATATGGAAAATTTGTACTTGTATTTAGTTATAAAAGTACACACAGGCATATATAATTTAAATATTTTTTATTATTACAGAACTACTACTACAATCCTTCTTCTCAAAAGAAGTTTAACTTCCAAAAGACTATTTCTAAGTCCATTTTTGTGTATGTCTGAAGTCTCAATGATATGAAATATTAGTATTATACATCTATATAAAATTAAATTTACCGTTTTTTTCTAGAAAAATTATATCCCTTTAGTTTCTAGGTTTTTCAAACTTGGTTTTAAAATTCTTGTAAATTATGGGGTTAATGATGTCCTCAAATACCTCAAAATGAAATATAACAAAATATGAACATACTAATGGTACAGACTGTTCCCCAAGGCCACTCTAGCCCTATTAGGTGAGAATGAGATGAGAATAATGGGGTATTTGCTTTAAATATCCTTGTTATGTTGCTGTATCCCCTGGGCTGGGACAAATAAAGATCACAGTGATACCTCAAATCTCTCTCTCTTTCTAGAGCTGTCAAGACTGTGTTCCCTAATAAGAGAAGCCTCATTATAACCCGTTCTACCTTTGCGGGATCTGGCAAGTTTGCAGCACATTGGTTAGGAGACAATGCAGCCACCTGGAATGACCTTCAGTGGTCCATCCCTGGCATGCTTGAGTTCAACCTTTTTGGTATTCCAATGGTGAGTCCCTGTCTCAAGCTCTTTTATGAATCTCAATCTCTAGAAAACCCCATTCTAGAAAGTTTTGAAACCATAAACCTCCCTTCCCTGCCTGCTATGGCCCAGGGATTTAATGTCTTGTGTGCATGTGATTCATCAACATGGCTCTAAAACCAGGACTTCCTTCCCTCTACTGATTTATGAAGTTAGGGAGAGAAAGCTTGATATCTCCTGGGCCATTTTTTTTCTATTAAAGTATAACATACACTCAGAAAAGTACACCGATCCTTCAGTCTACGGATGATCAGTGTCACAAACTGAACATGCTGGAGTTCTCAGCAACATATAACATTGGCAGCACTTGAGAGGCTTTGGCATTTTTTATTTAAATTCAACATATTTATTGAGCTTCTGTTATGTTAAAGGTGCTGTGCTAAGTATGCATGATGAGTGTGGAGAGAAGCATAAATACAGTAAAGAAAGAAACTTCTCAAAGAGTTTATAATTTTATAAAATGATACATGTAAGCAAATGGTTATGACCAACCAAATGGTTACATGTGATGAGGGATCCTGAGAAAGATTTATTAACACTGATAAGATTGTGATGGAGTCAGAGGAGAAAGTCAAAAGAAACTTCACAGAAAAGATGGTGCTTGAGTTTAACCTTGAAAACTGACTAATGATGGGAGAAGCTTCAGAGAGATTGAGAACTAAATCCTGGAAAAAACAGTATAAGGGAGAGTATTTGATGTGACTATAAGGATTGTTGTGTAGAATTGGAATGGGAGATTATGCTGGAAAGGGAGATTTGAATTAGGCTTTGACAAGCTAATAGGATGAGAAACAAGAAGCTCCTGAAGATTTTTGAATTTGTGATCATAACAATCATGATCATAATAAGACTTTAGAAAAGTCTTAATAGTGTGGTAGAATAATAATTTTAGAGGTTTACTAGTTACAATTTATCAAAAAGCTGTTGTACCCACTTTAATAAAACAGGGAAACTGAGGCATAGAAAGCTTAGGTAACTGTGTCTATGTTAGCCAGTGTGAGTCAGTTCTGACCACACTACATCAGGCTGCTGAGTGGAAGTCTTAACCTAGTTCAGTTGGGAGGTCCTGGTAGCAGGGTCCCTGGAAGTGAGGTCTCCATGCTGACTGTGTCTTTACAGGTGGGTGCAGACATATGTGGCTTTGCACTGGATGCCCCTGAGGAGCTCTGCAGGCGGTGGATGCAGCTGGGAGCATTTTATCCATTTTCCAGAAATCACAATGGCCGAGAATACAAGGTGAGGCTTGCAAGAAGTATGATTGAAATAAAATTGGCATACATTGAGTGGATCTGTCCATATCCTTGACAAGGAGCCTGCTGAATTAACTTCTTACCTGATACTTAGGCTAATTTGTACCAACATTTGCAATTAATCAGAACCTGTGCTGTCCCTTATAATGCCCCTACTATCACAGCCTCTCTTATTTACTGCTGCTCTTATTTTTTTATTTGTTCTTTCTAGATATACATGACAGTAGAGTGTATTTTGACATATTATACATACATAGAATAAGTATAACTTGTTCCAATTAGGATCCCACTATTGTGGTTGTACATGATGTGTAGTTACACTGGTTGTGTATTCATATATAAAGACAGGAAAGTTACGTCCAATGCATTCTACTGTCTTTCCTGTTCCCATTTCCTCTCCCTTCCATTTATTCCTTTTTGTCTAATCCAAAGTACTTCTATTCTTCCCAGACCCCCACCCTTTATTTTGAGTTAATATCTGCATATCAGAGAGAACATTCGGCCTTTGGTTTTCGGGGATTGACTTATTTTGCTTAGTATGATCGTCTCAAGTTTCACAATTTCATTTCTCTTTATGGCTGAGTGATATTCTTTGTGTATATATACCACATTTTCTTTATCCATTCATTTGTTGAAGGGTGCCTATGTTGGCTCCATAGTTTAGGTGTTGTGAATTGAGATATTATAAATATTGATGTGGCTGCTTCACTATAACATGCTGAATTTAAGTCCTTTAATAACTGGGTCAAATGGTGATTCTATTCCATTCTATTTTATGAGGAACCTCTGTTGTGTTAAAGGTGCTGTGCTAAGTATGCATGATGAGTGTGGAGAGAAGCAAAAATACAGTAAAGAAAGAACCTTCTCAAAGAGTTTATAATTTTATAAAATGAGACATGTAAGCAAATGGTTTCCATAGTGTTTGCACCAATTTGCAGTCCCACCCTTTTCTAAACATTTATTGTTACTTGTAGTCTTGATAATTGCCATTCTGAATGGAGTGAGATAAAATCTCAGTGTAGTTTTAATTTGCATTTCTCTAATTGCTAGTGATATTGAACATTTTTTCATTTATTTGTTGACCAGTTGTATTTCTTTTTCTGTGAAGTGTCTGTTCAGTTCTTTTGCCCATTTATTTATTGGATTCTTTGATTTTTTTGGTGTTAAGTTTGTTTGAGTTCTTGTATATCCTGGAGATTAATGCAGTATCTGAGGTGGAGTTGGCAAAGATTTTTCTCCATTCTATAGGCTCTCTATTCATTTTCTTGATTGTTTCCATTGCTGTGAAGAATTTTTAGTTTGATACCATCCATTTATTGATTCTTGATTTTACTTCTTGTGTTTTAGGAATCTTGTTGAGGAATTCAGTTACTAAGCTGAAATGATGGAGATTTGGGCCTGCTTTTTCTTCTAGTAGGCTCAGGGCCTCTCATCTAATGCCTAGGTCCTTGATCCACTTTGAGTTGAGTTTTGTACAGCGTGAGAGATATGGTTCTAATTTCATTTTGTTACGTATGAATTCCCAGTTTTCCTAGCACTATTTGTTGAAGAAGCTATCCTTTTTCCAGTGTATGTTTATGGCACCTCTGTCTAGTATAAGATAACTATATTTATGTGGGTTTGTCTCTGTGTCTTCTGTACCATTGGTCTTCATGTCTGTTTTGGTGCCAATACCATGCCGTTTTTGTTACTATAGCTCTGTAGTATAATTTAAGGTCTGGTATTGTGATACCTCCTGCTTTGCTTTTCTTGCTAAGGATTGTTTTGGCTATTCTGGGCCTCTTATTTTTCCAAGTGAATTTCAAGACTGCTTTTTCTATTTCTGTGAAGAATGTCATTGAAACCATAATAGGAATTGCATTAAATCCTTATAGTGCTTTCGGTAGTATGGCTATCTTGACAATATTCATTTTGCCTATCCAAGACCATGAGAGATCTTTCCATTTTCTAAGGTCTTCTTCAGTTTCCTTAGTGTTCTATAGTTTTCATTGTAGAGGTCTTTCACAGCTTTTGTTAGATTGATTCCCAAGTATTTAATTTTTTTGAGGCTCTTGTGAATGGGATAGTTTTCCTAATTTCTCTTTCAGTTGATTCATCACTGATGTATAGAAATGGAATCAATTTATGGGCATTAATTTTATGTCCTGCTACTTTGCTTAATTAATTTATGAGTTCTAAAAGTTTTATGGTGGAGTGTTTTGAGCCTTCTAAATATAGAATTATGTTTTTGGTGAATAGGAATGGTTCAGCCTCTTCTTTTCCTATTTGTATACCTTTAATTTCTTTCTTTTACCTAATTGTTCTGGCTAGAGTTTCAAGGACTATATTAAATAGAAATGGTGAAAGAGGACATCCTTGTCTTGTTCCAGTTTTTAGAAAGAATTCTTTCAATTTTTATCCTTATAGAATAATGTTGGCCGTGCATTTTGCATATACAGCTTTTACAATGTTAAGGTATGTTCCTACTATCCCTAGTTTTTCTTGTATTTTGAACTTGAGAGGATGCTGATTTTTGTCAAATTCCCTTTCTGCATTTATTGAGATAATTGTATGATTCTTGTCTTTAAGTTTACTGATGTGATGAATTATGTTTATTGATTTCCATATGTTAAACCAAATTTGCATCCCTGGAATGAACCCCATTTGATCTTGTTGCGCTATCTTTTTAACATGTTTTTGTATGAAATTTGTCAGGATTTGATTAAGAAATTTTACATCTATGTTTATTAGGGATATTGGTCTCAAGTTTTCTTGTCTGATTTTGGTATCAGGGTGACACTAGCTTCAAAGAAAGAGTGTGGAAAGTTTCCCTCTTTTTCTATTTCATGGAAATATTTGAAGAGAATTGGTGTAAGTTCTTCTTTGAAGATCTGGTAGAACTTGGCTGAGAAGCCATCTGGTCATGGGCTTTTCTTTGTTGGTAGGCTTTTGATGGGGTCTTCAATTTCATTTCCTAAAATTGTTCTGTTTCAATTTTCTCTATCATGATTCAATTTGGGTAAGTCATATATTTCTAGAAATTTGTTAATGTCTTCATGTTTTTTATTTATTGGAGTATAGATTTTCAGATTAGTTTCTGATCATTATTTGTATTTCAGTGGTGTCTCTGATATTTCCTTTTTCATCACAAATTTTAGTAATTTGAGATTTCTTTCTCTTTATTTTTGTTAGCTTGGTTAAGGTTTTGTCAATTTGCTTTATTTTTTTTAACAAACCAACTTTTTGTTTTGTTGATTTTTAAATTTTTTGTTCCAATTTAATTAATTTCAGTTCCAATTTCCTGTCTTCTACTGCTTTTTGGTGTTGATTTGTTCTTATTTTTCCATATATAATAACCTAATTTTTGAGATGTAAAATTAGGTTATTATTTGGTGACTTTTTATTTTTAGTTCATACTTTCTTTATTTAGGTTTTGTTTGGAAGATCTGTTGAGTAGTTAAAGAGGTGTGTTAAAGTCACCCAGTATTATTGTGTTGTGGTCCATTTGATTCTTGAACTTGTGAAGGTTTTTTTTTTTTTGACAGTGGAACAGATGTTCCACTGTTTGGTACATATATATTTAAGATTGCTATATCTTGTTGAAGTATAGTTTCCTTGTACAGTATGAAATGGCCTTCTTGGTCCCTTCTGATTAATTTTGACTTGAAATCTACTTTATCTGATGGATAGAAATCCCTATTTGTTTATGAGATCTATATGACTGATAAATTTTTTTCAATTCTTTTGCTTCCAGTCTGTGGTTGTCTTTTCCTATGAGGTTAGTCTGTTGGAGTCAGTATATTTTTGGGTCTTGTTTTTTAATCCAGTATGCCAGTATATGTCTTTTGATTGATGAGTTTAGGCCATTTACATTCAGTAAATTGAGAAATGATTTTTATTCTCTGTCATTGTGGTTTATTTCTGGTTTTAAATTTGAATTAGTTTTTCCTTTGATTGACTATTCCTTTAGTGTAGCTCCTCCCTTTGCTGGTTTTCACTCTTATTTTTCATTTCTTCTTCATGAAATATTTTGCTAAGAATGTTCTGTAGTTCAGGCTTTCTAGTTGTGAATTCTTTTATCTTTCATTTATCATGAAAGGTTTCTATTTTATCATAAAATCTAAATCTTTATTTTTCAGGGTATAGGATTCTTGGTTGGCATCCATTTTCTTGCAGAGCTTGGTGTATGTTATTCCATGGCCTCCTAGCTTTAAGGTTTGGGTTGAGAAATAGCTGAGATCTGGATTGGTTTCCTTCTAAAAGTAATCTGTTGTGGCACCCTTTAAAATTCTGTCCTTATTCTGTATGTTGGGCATTTTCACAATAATGTGCTTTGGTGTGGGTCTGTTGTAACTTTGATTATTTGGGGTCCTATATGCCTCCTGTGTTTGATTTTCCATTTTTTTCTTAAGGTTTGGGAAATTTTCATATATTATTTCATTGAAAAAATTATGCATTTCTTTGGATAGTATCTCTGAGTCTTCTTCTAGCCCAATAAATCTTAAGTTTGGCCTTTTTATGTTATCCCATATTTCTTGGAAGTTTTGTTCATGGTTTCTTAACATCTTTTCTTCATGGTAATCTTTATGTTTTAGAATATATATTTTGTTTTCATTGCCTGAAACTCTGTCTTCCAATTGATCTATTGTTTTGGTGATGTCTTCCAACTTCCAACAAATTTTTAATTTGGTTTATTGATTCCTTCATTTTGAAGATTTCTGCTTTTTTAAAATCTCTATTTCTTTATTGAAGTGATCTTTTGCTTCCTGCATTTTCTACCTTACATAGTCTTTTACCTGGCAAATAATATTCTAAACTCTTTCTCTGTCATTTCTTCCACTGTGGTGCTGATGGATTCTGTTATTGAATTATATTGGTTTGTCTACATATTTGACAATATGGTTTGAGGCAGTAGAGATTCTACCCAGTGGGCTTCTAGGGACTCTGAAGTTTTCCAGAACCTCATAGATTAGGGGGGGATGGATAATAACAACAACCAATGTAAATAGTTTACAACATCAAACCAAATAGTTCCTGCTTTGGCATCTTCTATGTTAGTTATCACAATAAATAGAGATGATATGATCAGCTATTTTACCCACAGTAAAAACAGTAAGTTTATATATGGATTTATAATTTTAAGTTATGAACAGGGATAGAAAAGAAGTAATGTAGGATGCGATGTTTGTGTGAGAAGAAGAGAGACAATAGAATTAGAAAACAGGATGAGTGATAGTAGAGGAAAAGAGAGAAAGATTCTAGGGAAACAGTTAAGTGAGACAAAAAAAGAGTTAAGTGAGACAAAAAAAATTATAGAATAAAAATTGAAAAATAAATAATAAAAGTAAAAATAAAATTAAGAGTAAGATCGTACAAAACTGACATTCTAATCAAACATCTTAGTCCTTAAAACATTGATCAAAGAGAAATAAATACCTTAAAAAATTTAGGAATGAGAAACAAATACAAAACAAAACAAATCAATAAACGGTATGAATATGTATAAGCAGGAACCATTCAGGTAAAAATTGAACAGTGAGTAGAAAAAAAATTTAAAAAAATAGAAATTAAAAAAATACACTAAAATAAAGAAGAGGATCTTGATGAAAAGTTAGGAAATTTTTCTTTTTTTTGAATTTCAAATATTCTTCTCAGGTATGTTAGGTGGGGTTGCTGGAGTGTGATGAGAGATTCTTTATGTAGGACTCCTGGGGGCAGGGTTTAGGCTTAGTTAGCCTTGGATTGGTCTGGAGATTTTAAATCAGTTAAAATTTAAACTGATCTGGCAGTTGCTGGGGTGGCTGGGAGACTGTGCCCTAGGAAAAACCCCTGGGTTTCACTCGTTTGGTGGAGGGGCCAATTCTTCCTCAGACACTAATGAAATCTGTTTTTTTAGGACTCTTGGTTTCAGTCTTTGAACTGAATCAGTTCCTCCCTGCCCTTTAGGATTGTCAGCAGGGCATGACTTTCCCAGCTGAACTTTCAAGTGTCTGATCTTTATAAGCTACCATTCTGGAAGGGGAGAGGGGAAGCCAGGTGTGTTTTTCTCAACCAGTTTCCTCTATGTAAACTCAACTCCACTTTTGATTTTCTTCTGGTCTCTTAGACACACACTATGCCATGTTTTGTGGGTTTGCCAAACCTGTTTTCTGGGTTAGACACAGTTGTCAGGATTCAGATCTCCTGGTGCCATGCCCCCAAGCTGGAGCTGCAAAATGGTTCCTTCCTCTGATTTCCCTGATAGCTGGGAAAGACATAGTTTCTTTTTCCTACCTCCACACTATATTGTTGTGCAAGACATCTTTCAGGTTAGTGGTGGAATATTTTTGATCTCTGGTCTCTCCATATCCATACATACCTCAGGCCTCCTAAAATTGAGGGTTCCTTTAATTGATATATCACCCCACTATTTTAGTGCAGGGGAGACAACACTTGTTGGTACCACTGCTGGCAGCAGCAGCAGTGCTGGGATTTCTTTATTTTGTTTTATCCAATCACCTGATTCCCTGATCTGCTCAGAATATCCAGAGTTAATTCCCAGAAAAGCTCCCCTCTCTCACCTTGCTAAGAAGCAGTGTGTCTAGATTCTTGGCTTCACACCAGGGAGTGACCAGGAAAGTTACCTTCTCTAATCCACCAGTGAGAGGCTCCCCCTGTGAGCATTTTCTATCAAAGAACTGTACACTTTATGTATGTTACTTGTTTTGTAATGAGAAGAAAATGGGAAAATATTTTCAACAGAGCAATTCTAGGCTGAATGAGGGAGATGAGTTGCAAATTGCAATAGACAACTTGTTGAAATGGTCACTGTTTGCCCAGCTGTATTGCTCAGAGGCAAAGCTTGCAATCTAAGCCTCAGCCATTCAAGAAGGAAATTCTTTCTGTAGACAGCTCACCCTAGCAAACCTTTATTTCCTCCTAGGACCAGGATCCTGCCTCCTTTGGAGCTGACTCCTTGCTGATGAATTCGTCCAGGCACTACCTTAACATTCGCTATACTTTATTGCCTTATCTGTACACTCTCTTCTACTATGCTCATAGCCGAGGGGACACAGTGGCCAGACCTCTTCTACATGAGTAAGTTCTCCCAACTCAGTGCAAGTGAGTGTGTGTGTGTGTGTGTGTGTGTGTGTGACTTGAGTGCCCATTGGCTATTTGTAAGGTTATTTCAGCCTATATATTACCGTAGGAGTAAATTTAAGTATTTTAGCTTGCTCCTTCTGGGAAGAAAACTAGACTTAAAGTCTTGGGATTTGGGGGCTTTTCTTTGTTCTTCCACCAGCAAATTCTACATCTTAGATGTCATTTAAGATCTTTCATTCTTAGTTTCTTTAGTCTTTTTTTGCCCCCTGTGGTGCTGGGGATCAAACTCAGGGCCTTGCACATACGAGGCAAGCACTTTTCTAGTGAGTTACACTTCTGGCTCTAGAAGGTCAATAGTATGACTCTAATGGTTTCTCCTATAAATCACTATGATGCTAGGTCTCTGTTCAAGTTCCAGCAATAAGCCTGTGTTTTGAAAGGAAATGAGAATATTATAAAGGATCTCTAGAATTTCATATTCTGATTTGCCAGCCAGTTAGCATCTCTGATTTAACTCTGCAAGGCGGGACTTAAGAGCCTTTCCTTGTCAGAATACTGTAACCTCCTTTATGTATATGGCAGGCATGTATCTGCATTACTGTATGTCCATTTTAGGTGTAAGTTTTCACTGTCTTCTAGAATTTCCTGTTAAAAGGCAGATTTTCTAAAAGTAAAATTTGCATTATTATTTTTTAGGTCAGATTTAGTTCCTTCTTGATAGTCAAAGTTCTAAAATATATTGGTTATTTTACTTTTTTTAAAAAGGAGGATGTGACAAATAGAATTACAGCCTGAGATCTATCTAGCATAGATATTAGAATAGGAATTTTTGTCTAACGTGAAGGAGTAATAAGAGGATACAGGGACTGGGGAAAGAAGATTTGTCTGGGGGCTGGATGGGGATAGAATAGGTGTTTCAGAATAATTTTGGATATTTGCCAGGGCCGTCTGAATGCTTTGGATGCACTGGGGGAGAGCTGCCAGGTGCATTGGCCCATATCTCAGTGATCTGTCTCATTGGTGTCTAGATTCTACAAGGACAGTGAAACTTGGGATGTGCACCGGCAGTTTTTATGGGGCCCAGGCCTCCTCATCACTCCAGTTCTGGATGAGGCAAGTGTTCTCACTGAGACTCGTTGTCCCTGCTTCTGTCTCTGTGTCCCCTCCAAACCCATTTTTTTCTTTATTCCAAACTCATTTTTAATATTTGTGGCTGAGTCAGCTGTGAAGAGAGTATGCTGGGGTTCTGTAAGTGGGAAATGTGATACACAGAGTCTCTAGAAGTCATTATTTTTGAGCAAATTCTCAACCAATGTAGAAACATCTGCTGACAATTCAGCTTAAGTAGTGACCCCATGGTGTGCCAGATTGTCACAGCAGATTATTATTTGCTCTGTGATATGGAGGCAGAAGGGAGTAGTGACCAGAACACTAATGTCAAATTGCTCAGGATGTGATTGTCACTTCTATTATGTAATAAATAAATAAAACATATTTTATTCCCTCAGAGGCTGATATAAAGGATAATATTTGTTTTAATTTTAGGGTGCAGAGAAAGTAACAGCATATGTGCCTGATGCCATCTGGTATGACTATGAAACTGTAAGTAACTTGGACTTTTTTAAACTTCTGAAGACCACAGTTGCAGCTGTATAAACAAGATGACTTCCTAGAAAAAGAAACATCCATCCATTCACTGAAGAATATTTCTGTAGTGTTTTCCATAATTTCACAGCAAAGCCTAGATAATGTGAAACTAAGTAATATAATATCAGTCATGATGGAATTTGAAAAAAATATTTTTATTCAACAATAAGATAAAGACTTATATGGTGTCTCATGATCAAATTAAAAAGGACTAATGGGCAATTTGAGTTTGGTCAGGAATCAGATTCCTGTTCAGAACTATTGGGTTATATAATATATAATGATTGTTTGTTCCTCACCAGAGAACAAACAATCTCACAAACCCTCAACTAACCATGAAAAATGTTGCTCCTAATTTTTTTATTTCCTTTTTTGATTGCCTGAGTATATAGTGACAGCTAAATGGAAAAGAGAGACAACAGATAGATAACTCAGCACACGGGTGATTAGTGCAGGCTCTGGCTCTTAGTAAGGCCAATGTGTTTAACTATCTGTCCGCCTCAGGGGGGCCAATTGAGATGGAGGAAGCAAAAAGTTGAGATGGAAATTCCTAGAGACAAAATCGGACTTCACCTTCGAGGAGGCTATATCTTCCCCACACAGCAGCCAAGTACGACGACTATGGCCAGGTACAGCATGGCTGGGAACGTCCTCAAAGGGAAGCCTGACAAAGCAGGTCATTTCTGTCTCCATATGTTGACTAGAGGATGCTGAAGCACAGAGTGGAGTGAGGAAGAAAGGGTCCTGAGGCACACGTGTGCATGTGTGTCTGACTTGAGGGGATTTTTAAGTCTGTCCTTGGCATTCCCTTGGCCTCTTTTCAACCTAGAGCTGCACCTAGAAAGATTTTGAAAGATCTTATCCCTGCTTCTTCTTAAGTTTCTCTAAATACACTGGCAATTAGGCTGGCCAGCTTTGCTGGGATATTGCAGTTTTAGCATTGAAAATCTCATGTCTTAAGAAAACTCAATTCAGGGCAGGCCAGGTCAGCTGGTCACCCCACCTTCTTTGACCTGACCATCTATCTATGCATGGTTCTCAGGTTTTTGCCTCATTCATTATCACTTATAGATTTGGAATTACCTGTCTATCCTCCTATAACCTCAGCTTCCCATTACTTTCTCCTACTGAGCCATTTCTTTCTTATGATTCAAAACTGGATTCAGAAACTCCTTTCTTCTATAAATCTCGAATCTCCCATGCTGTTGATTTTTCTGTTTTTGATTCCAAAAGTGTAGTCTTCATCTATACTAAAGAGATGTACAAATATATTGTGATCCTGAAATTATTAGCTTATTTGTTTTTAATAATCTGGGAGTCCTTTAGAGGACACAAACCTGTCTTTTTCTTTCTTTCTTTCTTTTTTTTGTTTTTTTCTTTTAGATATACATGACAAAAAGTGTATTTTAACATATTATACCTACATGGCATATAACTTATCCTAATTAGGATCCCATTCTTGTGGTTGTACATGATGTGGAGTTTCACTGGTGGTATATTCATCTATGAACATAAGAAAGTTATGTCTGATTCATTCTACTCTCTTTCCTATTGCCATCCTCCTCCCTTCCCTTTATTCCCCTTTATCTAATCCAGTGAACCTCTATTCTTACCTCCCCCAACTTATTGTATGTTAGCATCTATATATCAGAGAGAACATTTGGCCTTTAAACCCGTCTTTTTCTTTGAACCTCCTTTATTACCTTAATTTTTCAGTTATAGACTTTTTAACGAAAATATGCCTAAATCCAACACCAGTTGGTTTTATTTTTATAATTGTTCAGCTTCAGGCTCTTCTACACATTGACACCAAAATTGTCTTTCTCACATGATAATCTTAACTTGTTTCATCCCGGCTTAAGTCTGAACCTTTCACTAAGAGACTGCTGAAGACCCATCATAGTCTGATTCCAAGTTAGCCTTGATAACTATATCTCCTGCTATTTTAGTACACATACAGAGCAACCATACCCCAAATGCACTACTCTACAAACATAGCCATCTATTTTGTTGCATTTGGGTATCTGTACTTAATACTCTTTCCAGCAGGCCCAGGACCTCCAGTATGCTAGGCAAGCCGTTTACCACTGAGTACACTCCCAGCCGTTAGGTACTTATATTCTTTTTTTGTCTTTGTTGTTTTTATTAGAGCATTATAGTTATACATAGTAGGTAGGTTCATTTTGACAAAATCATACATGCATGAAATGTGATTTCCTCCATTTCAGTCCCCATTGCCTCACTTTTTCTCCCCACTCCTTCCTTCTAGTCTCCTTCTTCTACACTTCTAGTCTTCCTTTTGCTCATTTATTTATTTATTTATTTATTTTGATCGGTTCTTTCTACATATACATAAAGATGGAGTACCCTGTATGGAGTATAGTTATATATTCACATGGTGTGATTTTGTTGAATTCGTTCCACATTTCCTTCCTCTACCCTTCCCTCTACCCTCTCTCTCAATCTCCTACTCCACTAATCTTCCCTGTGTCTTTATGATATCCAGTTCTCCCTGTCCTTTGTCCCCTTCTTTTCCTCTAGCTTCAACATATGACTGAAAACAAACATTTGACCCTTGCTTTTCTGACTCTGGCTAATTTCACTTAGCATGATGTTTTCCATTTTCATCCATTTATAGCAAAAGCTATAATTTCATTCTTCTCTATGGCTGAGTGAAACTCTATTGTGTATATATGACACATTTTCTTTGATCTATTCACCTATTGATAGGCATCTAATTTGGTTCCATAATTTGGCTATTGTGAATTGTGCATCTATAAACATTGAGGTGGCTATATCACTATAGTTTGCTGATTTTAATTCTTTGGATAAATTTTGATCTGTTCTTTTAGATATACATGACAGAAAAGTGTATTTTAACATATTATACCTACATGGAGTATATAGATTTAGAATTCCCTATTCATCCTCCTAAAACCTCAACTTCCCATTACTTTCTCCTACTGAGCCATTTCTTTCTTATGATAGTTGGGAGTGGAATAGCTGGGTCATATGATGGTTCCATTCCTGTTTTTTTTTTTTTTTTTGAGGAATCTCTTGTAGGATCTCACTTTATGTTGCTTTCCAGAGTGCTTACACTAATTTGCAGTTCTACCATCAATGAGTGTTATCTTTCCCCCCACAACCTCAGCAGCATGTATTATTTGTATTCTTACATTTTCAAAGATCCAAGATAAGCTCAGATTTTATCTGCAAGTAATCTTTCTTTAACTCTTTTGGCAAAGGGAATGGGACCACTTTTGACTTTCTAACTTTAAAAAAATATTATTTGCTCCTTAGAAGATTTTTCTCTTTTTTCCTAAATATTGTTATATATTTCAACCATAGTCATTTCATTCTCTATCGGAAAGTTATTTTATCTGAATTCCTTAGAGGAATATACACCGATAGTTAATTATTTCTGCTGAAAATTCAATGTTGACTTATTACCTTTAGTATTTAGTTCCCAAATCTTAAGGCACAGATGTGTATCTAATTCCTCCAGAGGTGAATTGACTTCTCTTTGGTTGAAAGGCAATTGGACTATGGTCAACTTGGTATCATATTAGTTCCCCATCTAAGATCTGGCTTCACATGGGAGTTGAAGATTCCACTTCTCTACCTTAAACTGCCAATCAGTGGCTCAGTATTAGACCTAATATTCATTAGCCCCAGAGAAATTCCAGGTTTTGCTTTTTGGATACCCTTTGGATTTAGCTCATTGTATTGTTTACCTGTTGTCATATTTGTCTCTTATATATAACCTATTTTTTCTACAGGAACAACAATGTTTCTTAATAAGAACATATGTTGCAATTTATCTAGGATCAAGTAATATTTTAAAGAAAGAGTGGGTTCTTTAAAATATCTAGTCTACCATCCTTCTGGAAGTGTCATTCTGCACTCCTGTAGGATCTCACTTTATGTGTCACTGTTCATTTTCTGCTTTGGTTATTTGGTGACTATGTCCAATCTTTGTTATAATATGGAAGGTCAAAGAGGAGGTCACAATAGGGATTTATTCTCCTAGATTAGCAAGGACACCCAATACTTGCACTGTGAATGAAAGCAGGTGATTTTGTTGGTCACAGAACCTGACTTATGCAGTGGAGGCTAACATGTGAAAGAACACACAGGGAATATTAGGCCAGGAAGGCATACCTGAGACAATGCAAACCAGGATGGAGTACAGAGGTGTGGCAACACGAGGAGATGCCCAAATAAATGCTTTCTTTCTTCCCCTTTCTCTATATCCAGAACTTGCACCATTTCTTTGAGCATTATTTTGTGTTTCCTGTTCTAAATTATAAGGCAGATAATTGGAATGTTTTGGTTTTCAATCTAAACAAAATAATAGTAAGTAATCAAATAAGGGAAGTTTCCATGATGTAAATGGACATTATTGTGTGTTTTTGCTTCTTGAGTAAAAATGGCCCTTAGGCGGGGAAGAGTTTCTCCCTTCTGATGGCACTTCTGTAGGTTTCATCTCTAAAATGACTTGTTTCATTATTGTCTAGAATTTCTTTCTCCTCTAGTAATTTGTATCTAAGTAATAGTTGCAGTCACTGGTTTTATTATAGCTTTTGCAGTGATTCTGATGCTTAAATTATTGTCTCCCACATGGATGTTTAATTATAATGTTTGAGGTACTTCTATCTTCTGTGACAGAAAGAATCACCTTCTAATTTGTCCTTTGTTTCAGAGGAAAGCAGGGCCATCTATTGCTAGTAACTTTTACTATTTGAAATTTGAAGAAACAAATCAGCAAAATTCTTTGTGTCCTGATCTTTTTGTCTTACCTAGCTCTTATTTCCCACAGTCGAAGGAACCCTCTTGGTCTCATTATTGCCCTTGATGAGAACAAAGAAGCAACAGGAAAACTTTTCTGGGATGACGGGGAAACCAAAGGTGAGTCTCTTATGAGAATGTGCAATTTCCATTCCTACATCTTTGACTCATGGCCCCTACTCCTGCTGGACATTCTAGTAGGGGGAGAGGGACTTGAATCACAAGGCATAGTAAGAAAAGTCACTTGAGATAAGAGTTGTATATTGCCTGCACTGTTCAGAAGTTGAAGCCCACTTGGAAGAAAAACATGTCTCTCTCACAACTGTTCCATTGGCCAGTGATCCTCATAGGTTCTCATTTATTATCAGTGGGAACCTGGAAGATATGTTCATGATCTTCCTGTAATTTATTGGTAATATAAAAACCCTCTATAAACAAATGTTGATGATATTGAAAACATACTTCTGTCAATGTGGCATATAAAATATATTTGTCAACTGTATATATATCTTGCTGTGTTTTTAATAGTATTATTCCTAACACTATACTAAAAATTTTGGGGGTGGTAGCTTAGGACTTAGATTCCATGAGGCATATGACTTGAAAGTACTTGGAAAGAAATCTCTTCAAGGTTATAATGGGAAGAAGAAGGAAAATCAGCAGTTTAGCCTTGGAGACTTGTTCACAATTTTCTTAACTTTGAGATGTAGCTTTTAAAAAAATTCTTTTTATTTATTTTATTTAAAAACACTTAATCAGCAAATAAGATTGAACATAATGAAGGTGAACAATATATACATGTACACATATGTATTTTGCATATATATGTATACACATATATGTGCACACACACAAACACACACACTCACACATTGTGTAATGATGATCACAATGAAATTACTTAACATATTACCACCCATGCTGTACATTTTTTCTTCCTGGAACTTGTTCTTTTAGTTAAATGTTTCTACCCTTTGACCTACATCTTTCTATTTTCCCCCTCCCCTGCCCCTGGCATATTCGGTTTTACCCTCTGCTTCTGAGTTCAACTTATTTTAATTCTACATACAAATAAGATCATCCTAACTTATTTCTTTTATTATGATATACTTCAGGTTCACACATGTTGTCACAAAAAGCAGGACTTCCTTCTTTTTAATGTCTGAATAACACTCCTTTGAAAAATTAAATAATTATATATATGTATGTATATGTACACACACATGCAGATACACACACACACACACACACACACATATATATATATATATACACACATACACATACATATATACACCACTATGTATATATTACAATTTCTTTATTCATTTGTCTATTGATTGACACATTGCTTCCTTATTTTGGCTATTATGAAAAATGGTTTAAAGTTCTGAAACCACAAGTATTCTAGGAGAAAACATAGGGGAAAAGTTCTTTGACATTGGTCTTACAAGTGTTTATTTTTTAATATGACAATGAAAGCAAAGATAACAACAACAGCAAAAATATAGATGTGGCAGTAAATCAAACCTTTGCAAGGCCAAGAAACAACAGAATTAAAAGAAGAAAACCCACAGAATAGGAAAAATTATGTGAAAACTATGTACCTGATAAAACATTAATATAAAAATCTCCTGCACTCAATAGGAAGAAAATAAATAACCTGATTTAAAAATAGGAGCTGTGAGCATGTATGAATATATCATAATACATTCTAATTTTATATATAACTATAACATACCAACTAAAATAAATAAATAGAAGGAAGACTAATAGAGTAGAGTAGGGGGACTAGGGAGAGGAAGGAAGGGAAGAAAAGAGGAGGTCCTGGGATTGAAATGCAGCAAACTGTATTGTATGAATTTATGAATATATCAAAATGAATCCTACTGTTACATTTAACTGTAATGCAGTAATAAAACAGAAGTAATAAAAATAGGATAAGGATTTGATTAGATATTTTTACATAAAGGATACACAGTTGGTCAACCTTATAAGCAGAGAAATGCAAGTAGAAAATTACAGTATCACTTCAGACCTGTTAGAATGTTTGCTATGAAAAAGATAAGATGTAAGTGTTGGAGAGGACTTGAAGAAAATGGATAGAATCCTTACACACTGTTGGTGGAATTGTAAATTGGTACATCCATTATTAAAAACAGAAATTCCTCAAAATATTAACAACAGAACTACTGTATGATCCAACAACCCTATTTCTGGGTATATGTTCAAGAGATATGAAATCGGTATTTCAAAGAGATATGTTCATACCCATGTTCACTGCAGCATTATTCATAAAAACTAAAATAAAGAAACAGCATAAGTGTCCACTGATAGATTAATGAATAAACAAGATGTGACACTTATAAACCACAGAATATTATTCAGTTGTAAAAAGGTAAGAAATCTTATCATTTGTGGCATCAATAATTAGCTTAAAAGAGATTGTATCTTTGGTGCAGTCCAGTCTGACTTGTCTCTTTTCTGCTTTTAGATACTGTGGCCAATAAAGTGTATCTTTTATGTGAATTTTCTGCCACCCAAGTGAGTATATTTTTATGAGTCTTAGGTGTAGGCTCTTGTCTACTATTAGCACTTATGTGTAATTTTATTTTTAACTCCATTTGCATTGATGACCACAGGGTGAATACATTTCTAGGCATACCTTAACTACCAATAATTGTATTATAAATATTATCAAAAGAATAATGATAAATCAAAGCAGCTTTTTTAAAAATAATGTTTCCCAAAATGTTTGTGTGTTTGTGTTCCTGAAGTCTCCCTTCCCACAGATTTTATTAAAGTGTTTGTAGTCATTGAGCATGCGTTAGTAGAGACAGCTAAGGACATTCAGAGCAGTGGGGAGCTACTGATCTAGGATGGAGCATTTGAGTGGCTGGAGAATCTGTGTTTTAGAGGCACAGCTTTGGGCTTCATTGTGCTATTTTGACTTTCAGAACCGCCTGAATGTGAACATTTCACAAGCAACCTACAAGGACCCCAATAATTTAGCATTTCAGCAGATTAAAATCTTTGGGACACAGAAACCCAGCAACGTTACAGTGAAACAAAATGGTGTCCTGAGTCAGACTGTTCCCAAGGTCACATATGACGCTCAGCTGAAGGTAAAAATCCATTTGGTGAAGTTGTTTTTCCGGAATTCTTCATAGTATCTTGGTTTTCCTTCTTGCCAAGGTTGTGTGGATTCCTGAAGGACCAGAGCACTGTGTGGAGCCTGTGGTGGGGAAATCAGAGGGCTGGGAACAGAAGTGCTGATGAGGTGGTGGGCAGAGCTAGTAAGGACAGGGAGGCTCCACTGAGCAGGGATGAGGCGATATGGTCTTTAATGGTCCCATTTTCCCCCCGGCCCCTCAGTGTTCTCCTCTGTTTCACTGGCATCACTTTCAAAGATAAAGTTATAGTGGACACAAGGAGAGCAGAGTTAGAACAGGTCAGAGGAAATGGGAAAGAGGAAGCTCATGTCTGGTGCTGAAAGGTAAAGGTGGGAGGAAGGAGTCCCATGCATTCAATATTGAAATGACTACTTTTTAAAGACTTTATAGAGATGAGATGAGTAGAATCTCCCTCCAATACATATATTCTCAATAACCACTTGAAGACGAGGTCTTTGATGATCCTATCTGATGACTGCTTCTTTGGTTAAATGATAATAATAAAATAATTTCTCATCATTTGTGATGAGACCTGTCCATCCTGTGCATCCTGTAATCATTTCCTCTGATGCCTAGTGTTATGAGGAATGCTTTTTCCAAATGGTCCTGACCATGGGGACTGGCAGGTGCTTCTGGCATTAAAGCTGCTGGATAAACATGGTTTGTGAGGACCTTCCAAATTTGGGGAAATAAATAGATTAGATTCTACTACCATGACATATTGATGACATTTGACATTGGTCCTGACAAGACTTATTGAGCATGCAAACATTATAAAGTTAGAAGTAAATAGTATATCATTTATGTATATAACAAAGTGGAAGTCATATAAAGGATGTATATGTGAAAATAAGCTCACTCTATGTTTGCCAAATAACCTTGTTAACATAAGACAGAAGAAATTTCTTTTTTTCTTGAATGTGGGTGGTAAGAAGACATAATTTATACACAAGAGATAATTGGGAAGGGGCTTGGCAACTAAATGAACTTAGGACAAATTTTATCTGATATCTTAATTCATGCTCAAAGCTTACTCCAATAGTTGAGTCCAGTGCTGGATCTTGAAAAATGGTGTATCCTATAGGGATTCATCAATTGCAAATGACAGAGCACAAAAAATTGTAACAAATTGAAATTTTCCCCATTTGCAACTAGTGGTTTAGAAGGTGGACCATTGCTGGCATTGGTTCAGTGGCTCAAGTTTGTCACAATTGAGGTCTTGTCTTTTCTTGGGACTGGAAGTGATTGCTGAGTTCTAGTTACTAAGTGCCGATGGTGGGACAAATTAGGGTAAAAATGGAAAACAAAGAGAAGATATAAGGTGAAGTGGAAGTCCTGTAAATCAAAAGAAAGAGCCCCCTAACTAGCAACTTTCAGTGAACTTGAACTTACTATTTCATAACCATCACTGTGCTACATTGATCTTTCTCTTGGGAACTTAGGATTTCTACACTGAAACAGAAAAAAGGGACTATTTTATATAAGGAAAGCAAGTAGCAGTGTATTCCACAAATGGCCATCATTTTTCTAGAAAGAACTTTTTCCTACTTATCACACTCCAAGTTGAGATAGCAGATAAGGCAATTCAAGACAGCAAATATTCCTTAATTATCAGTCTGTAAATTTTGTGTAACTCACATAGCTTGTCTTCACTTTTGGAAGGACATAAGTTTCGATAGAAGGAAATGCCTTTGATTTTAGAGACTGAAGTGCCAAAGTGAGAAAATCATTTCATTAAATTCTCTCATACAGTCTTATAGTGATCTTTAAATCTAGGCATTCTTCCAAGTGGAGTTGAGGGTAGGATTAGTAGTCCAGGGATATTTGAGATGATTTGAATTGGGAGACTGAAAAAATATGATAATCTTTAAAATGTGATCATATAGTTCCAGACAAATGAGAACAACAACATTAACTATAGAAAGTGCTATTTAAATAAGAGGAAAATGTAAGAAAAATATAGAAATGTTAAATATTTTACATGGTAAGTGTGATCCCCCGCCCCCCCCCCCCCAAAAGATTTCAAATTTTGGTTATCTGGGTTGGAGAATAGAAGAGACTGGAATGTTAGCAATTAAAAAAATGCAATGATTTTCCCAACTCACCAATTTTGCAGTTGTTACAGCTGAGATCCAAAGAATGGAAATAATTCATTGAAGATCCCAATGAAGAATGGGAATGAAAGTCTGGGCCATATGATTCATATTGCTTTGTTCTTTCTAAACCTCTAGTCCAATGGGGAATACTGGTTTGGGGAGTGGAGGGCAAGAGATAAAGGCAATTTGGCAATACCAGAAGAAATCCAGTGATGAAACGCAGAAGGGGAAGAGAACTCAGGGAATGAAAGAAAGTGGTGTTTTATTTGATCTCATTCTTTCCACAATATAATGCACAAGATTGTGATAGAATAGTAATATTTGCCATATTGCTGCTAAATATATTCCTTTCATTTATATAGCTCTTTCCATATGAATTACATTCAAATGTCACTTGGATTGTTGAAAGTTTGGTCTAGTACTGATATGTGTTGCTAAAAATATTTAGAACTTGCCAGGCCTTTGTTCTGAGGATATTTCTTTGTGTGTTTTC